GCATAAAATCTGTACTATTGATTTTTACTATAATACCTCGCATATGTTTGATTAATTAGTATATGAAATACCCCAGTATACTATGGTATTTCTAATATTTAGTAAATTTGTAAAAACATTTTTTTGACTAATTTTTGATTCATATCCTTAATCACAGGGCTCTAATATTCACATTAGTAATTTAGTTTGTGAATTTATTGAGTATCTCAAACTTTCAAACTATAAAATTGCTATAAATAATTTACTTTCTAATTCTATATATCTCAAATATACCGAAGCAGGTGTTGCTATTTATTCAGGCATAAATCATAATAGTTGGAGAACATGTGACAATATAGTTAATTAGGTAGCTTTATATATTATACCAATATTTAAACAAATACACCCCAACAAGATAGCACTATTCATGTTTAATAAGAGTAGCAATTATGGTTTATTTGCCAAAGATGCCCTTTTGGTCTTGCAAATAGACATGAAAAATAGTACAAAAAAACCACTTCTTTGTGCTGGTAAATATCGCAATAGTTCTAAGCATGTAATGATCTATAGAGATAGTAATAGTGTAAAAAGACTTAAAAGAATTAGGTGAGTTCTTGAAGAAAGAGGTTTATAGATACCAGGCTTTATAAAAAAATATGATATATGTAAAAAAAATAAGCCTGATCCAACCAATCCAAACTGTTGCACTCTGCATATTCTTTTAGCTCAATCTAACTTTGTATCTCAAAGATCACACTTATGAGAGGTAAATAAAGCTGTTTTTTTTTTTTAAAAAAAAAATTATTACTTATATATATATTAATTATATTAAATTTGTTTGGGCCAAGATGAAACATTATGCAAGACTTTATTGTTTTTAGTTTTAATGGCCCAAAAACTGTTCCAAAGGTATTAAATTCTGTTGGTTTATTAAAGATTTGCCACTTTTCTCACTGTTCTGAATGCTTTATAAGTGCTTATAAACTTGGACTTTTTAAAAAAAGCTGCTAACTATACAGTAAAGAAGTATTGTTCTCATTGTCAAATTCCAGAACAAGTTCTTGAAAATTTTGCTCATACATTAGCAAAATATATTAACGTAAACTTATGCAAATTATTACGCCCTGAAATATTGCGCAACAATTACAGTCTGGGCATAATATTGTGCAATAAGTTGTAAAATATTGCGCAATATATAATGTAAAATTATGAAATATATTACACAAAATTACGAAACTTATGGTGCAATATTACGCTATAAATTGTGCAATATTTCGAATTATTTTGAAACAATTCGAAATAGATGTAAATGCATCAAAACAGCAAAATATTTATAATCTAAAAGATAGCTACTTGTGAGTAAGAATTGCTAATCAATTTGAATTTATCAAATACAATTCAAACAATTTCAGGGTATTTTGAATTATTTCAAAATAAATTAAATAAAAAAATACAAATAATAGGAAATATATTTAAATGCAATAATTATACGATTTATTAGATTTTTTCGAATTATTTCAAAAAAAAGCTAAATTTACAGCCATTATTTAAATAAACTAAATATAAATTTTATAACTTAAAATATATTTTATTAATAAATTTATTTTTTATTTTATTTAAAATTTTAAAAATTACAAAAAAAAAAACTAAATTATAGAAAATCCTAAATAAAATATATAAAAATAAAAGACAAAAAAACATAGCATTATTCAAATAAAAAAAAAAAACAAAGCAAAAAAAAAACTTTTACTTATCAATATCCATATCTTTCAAATCAATAAACAGTAACTTTCCTATTATCATCATTATCATCATAGTTTGAGACCAAAGAATCATTATCTATTAGTTTATTGATACCAACTTTGGGTACATCTTCCTGGTTAGTTGTGTCTTCATCCGAACTAACTCGAACAGCTTTAGATTATTAATAAAAATAAAAAATAAAATTAAGATATTTCGAAATATTGCGACTTAATTTAAATAAATTAAATTTTATAGTTAATACTTACTAATCTTTGGCCTTTTATAAGTCTAAAGAATTTATAAAAATTAAAATAAATTTAATTAAATTAAATAAAATTAAAAAATCTTACTCTTTCGAAATGTTTCAAAGCTTTTTTGTATTTGGGAACTTTATCCTAATAAATTTAATATTTGTATTAGTTTGTAAAATAATTTGATAAAAATATAATTAATTTAATATTATTATTGTTTCAACTTTATTCGAATCTTTTTCTCTAAAGTTATCTCTTTCTTCATCACAATTTTCGACTTCTGGTTTTGATAATGAATCGCTATTTTTTAATCTCATCTATTTTATTCGAAATATTTCGAAATTAGTAAATTAATTTATCTGATTAACAAAAATTAAATTAAATAATTACTAAATGTCTTGCAGCCAATTTTTTTATAGCATTTTCTTCTATTGTTAATTTGCCGTAATCTGGGTTGAGAATAGTTTGAACTACTGCTATTGTATAGGCTACATTTACTTCAGAAGCATCTTCATCAGGCCAAACTTTCTTTAATATCCTTGCTATATACGTCTCTTAAGAGCCTTCTTCTATCTTTTTAAATATCATCTTACAACAATCTTCAGTCTTTTTCAAGCGCTTCCAAACCCTAATCTCATCTGATAAAGCCAAATTATTTATGGGATCTAAAAAACTCCCAAAAACATATATTTTTTTATATTGCTTGTTAGTGAACCTCGCAAAGATCTAATTTGTTTCAAAAGCTAAAAGTATTATAATTAGTAAATTAATAAATTTAATATAATTCGAACTGTTTCGAAATATTTTAAAATATTTCGAAACATTTCGAAAATATAAACATATAAATTAAATAAAAAGGTTTTACTAGTCCATTGATGTTTCTTATATAATAGGCATTCCACTGATTCAGTGTATTTTTCTTGTAATCTTCTTTATAATTACTTCTGACATATCTATCTAATTCCATCCTGATTAGCTCATCATCGAGATAAATCACTTTACTTAGAATTTCTTTAGATACACTTTTAATCACATCCTATAAATAAATTTTATTGAAGTTATTTAAAATATTAAATTATCTTAAATATATTATTATAATATTAAGAAGATAAATTGAAACTAAATAATTACTTCTTTAAATATTTTATCATTAGAAAAATCGAAGTTATTGTCTAATTTTTCCTCAATATCTTTCAATCTTGTTTCTATAATCCTGACTTTTGTTTTAATATTTTTAACTTCCTTTAGTATCTTGTCTTGATTTTCAATAATTTTCGAAATAGATCTTGCTAGTACTTATAAATAAATAGATTAAATTAATTATATATTTTTAAAATAATCTAAATAAAATTAAAAAAATTTACATACTTTCGAAACTATTCAGATTTTCATAATAAGGAGAAGTTTCACTTGGTCCAATTTCAAGGGAGTCGACTTTATCATAGAAGCTTTCACTTAATTCAGTCTCTCGAGTAGATTCAAGGCTTGCTTTCTTTGTAGTTGACTTCTTTTCGGATTTCTTTGCAGTTTTCTTCAAGCTAAGATTAAAAGCTGAAAATTTATCTAAAATAATTTAAAAATTTTCAGTTATTTGTCTATTATAATATTTAAATATTTGAATAAAACAACTTTATAAATAATATATTACTCATTTTGCTTATTTTTAAAAGAGATAAACATACTTAAAGTAAGTTAGTAGTATAGTATATAGTAAAAAAAGCAAAAGACTTAAAAATTTTAAAGTAAATCAAAAAAACTAAAGATTTAGTAGCAATTAAAATTTGAATATAAAACAATTTTTAATATAAAAACTAGTTTATGTAATTTGAGTTAACTTCAAATTATTTGAGTTTTTTCAAAAAGTTGCGAAATGCTTAAATTTTCACAACAATATTGATTGTAGATCTAATTATATTCTATTTATAGTAAAATTCTTGGCAATTATCATGTGATTTTAATTTTAATTATAAATACATATTATTGATTGTTCTCAAATTCTGATATATTTTCACTTATATTTATATAATTTGATATAATTTTATTATATTCAGAATAATTCGAAGTATTTGAAATAATGTAAACAATTTTACTACTAATATTTATAATAAAACTTAAAATAATGTTAATATAACAAATTTAATTTATGTACATTAATCAAGATAGTTTGTATATTTTATAATTAATTCACAATGATTCAATTAGATCTAAATTTTTAAAAAAATTTTGAATAATTCTAGTAATTTTGAAAAGCAGTATAATAATTTAAATTATATTGAATACATATCATATATTTTAAATTTATTAATTTTAATGTAACAAATATAACGAATTTAATTCATTAAGAAAACAAGATTAAATTTAGTATTTTATATAAATATATTAAAATGTATTCTTCACTCTTATTATTAAAATTTTTTGCTGAATTTTTTTTTATATTCTTAAATTGTCAAAACTTGAAACTTTCCAACCTTTTTAAATTTAAAAACTTAACACTAAAAAATATCTGAATTCAAATGTATATTCTGCTCACGTACTTTTGCAAACCACAATAGATTAACTCAACATATGAATACATGTATTAATACTGCTGAAGTTGAACCTATTTTTGTGAAAAAACCTGCTCAAATTTGCAACATTTCAAAACTACCTAAGCTAAACAAAAGCAATATAATGTTATTAAAAAAAATGAAATTAATCGTGATAAATCTGCAAATAAAATTTCATTTAAAGATATCAAGTTTCAAAAGTAGTTAAATTTAACGAAATTAGTTTAAATATGGAATTAGATAATACTAATGCTGGTCCTTCAGGTGTAACTAATACAGATGATCTTTTCAATAGTTTAGCTGATATGTCATTTGAATTTGAAGCTAATAATGATAATTCAAATAGTTTCGAATTAAACCCTGCTGATAATTTACTTGAGGGACTTGAAAACAGTTTGCAGGAATATCAGAAATTTTCTAATGAACTTTTAAATAA